TCTTTTCAACCCTTGAACTCCGTTGATTCCAAGCTAGCAGTCTGTGGCTACAGAATAGATAAGGAGCACTTCTTTTTAATCGAAGCATTTAAGTTTCTTTTTTTTAAAAAAACAAATTCTTCTTGAAATAAAACAGAACAACGAAGATATATAAAAATTTAAACTATGGGGCTAGGAACTAACAGTGGGAGAATGCTTATCTGTATGGGGTTTTGGGTTCAATCTCCAGCACCACTAATAAAGAAGGAAAAAAAAAAAGCTTAAACTATGAAAGCTCTGCCCATATTCCATGTCCTTGCCTAAGACAGCATCACTGTTAAAAGTTGACTGTTTATCTTTCAACCTTTTTCCATGTGTTCTTGATCACACATATGAACACCATATAAACATGTGAAGGATTTTATATTGTTTATATTTTATAAAAACAAAATCACACTGTGTCCTGTAACTTGCTTTTTTGACTAAATATATCTTATACACACTTGTACATCAATACATATGGATATTTCAGTTTCTGAATGACAACAGTCTCATTCTATGCAGAGATTCTAATTTTATTGTGGTATCATCAACTGATAAGCATTTAAAGCGAATATAGTTCTTCACTATTTTGAATAATGCGGCAATGTCTACTTTTATTAATATACCTGTTCTTGTAAGCTGATGCTAGTATTTCATTAGGATTTAATCCTAAAAAGTAGAATTCCTGGGTACAAACTTTCCAGAATTTTACAGATACTCACAAATTTCCTTCCAAATGGATTTGTCAGTTTATAAGATACCAAATGGTGTATAAAGGACCACCTTCTCGCAAGAAATTTTAAAGAATAAAAAAATCATTCAAATAAACAGAAATACATATAGTTTAAATAAATTACCTCCTTATAATTTTCTAAAAGTTTGTGTGAGGATTATTTTTTTCTAAACAATTGACTACTGTGTTCAGGTTTAACAACTATAACATTTTCTAATTCACAAGCAAGCACATATATTGAAAAGGAAATTGGAAATGTTTACAACTGACATGTAAGGGTAGAAGTGAGAAAAGGAGCAAAGCAAGGTCTTCATTTGCCATGTGGCTGAATTACAAACAGAGACTGTGATCACAAAAACTCAAATTCTGGAGTTAGAAGAATTCAGTCACTCATTCACCAAGTATCTACTGAGCTTAAAGCGCACCAGGCTCTGCGTTAGGTGTTGGGCTTTGTAATATTTACACTAGGGCCATGGAAACACAAATGAATTGATTAATTAACAGATCAATTTCAAAAAGTGAAAACCAAATAGAATTTGGTAAGGGATAACGAGTAGGAAAAGTGAATTCCTTTAGATTTGGTAGCCAGCTAAGGCTTCTCAGAAGAGGTGACACGCAAGATGAGTTATAACCAGAATGTGCAAGCCAGGGAAAGACCACTGGCAGAGACACAGCGACGATTCCAACGTGCAAATATTTTGGTCTGTTCAGGGCATGAAGAAAAGGCCAGTGGGGCTAACCTATAGGATGCTACACTGTAGGAGAAGATGAAGTGAGGTGATCGGGTGGTCTCTGAGATCATTAGAAGGCATTACTTCCCATTTGAAGTCATTAATAGACTGTTTGAGGCATGAGAGTGAGGTGATCTGATTTAAACTTTAAAAGATCATTCTTACTAATGTGCGGTTTGCCACTTGTGAACTGTATGTCCTTTGACAAGCTACATTACTTTGCCTAGCTTCAGTTTCCTCATTTGTGAAGCTGAGATAATAACATTATCTATTACCTGGAGTTGACAAGAGGATTAACTGAGGCTATGAATAGAAAGTACTCTACACACTGCCCCAGCACATAATAATTGTTGGGCAAATGTTCAACTAAATCACCACAGCATTAAAATAAAGTCACACAGAAGTGAAAATAATCCACTAGCCCCAATTACACAACATAATAACTAAAACTATCCATGAATTAGCCCTTATTCCTTATTTTCTAATGCTGAGAGACTGGATACTTCCACACTGAATCAACACTTGGCATTTTTCTGTTCTCTGACTATGCTACAATTGTGTGCTTTTTGCATAATGATCATGTCACTACTCACACATGCTCTACTACTCATTTTTGTGATACTCTCAGATTCAAACGAAGGCAGATAAATAGGTAAGCAGAAGCATGGAATAACAGACAGAGGGGAAGCCAAACTCTTAGGCTAGGTGAGAAAAGGAGAAAGTGTTTCAAATTGAAGTATTTAACTATTTAACAGAACAACTTTCTTAAATAATGGACATGTAAAATGTATGACGAAATGTTCTTTCCATGTTTGATATTTCATTTGAGCATCTGACGTCAGACACCATGCTAAAAACGTCAACGATGTGTTTCTGCCGTGAGTACTCTCTGCCTCCCAATCTTGCTTCATCTCTACAGAAACCCTTTAGCAACACAGTGAAAACTATGAAAGAACTACTTCTCGAATTTACTAAGGTACTGAAGAATATGAGTAATAGGAGCCAAAATTGTGAAACCTGTTTTCCTTGGTTCAACTGTTGCTTTTCAAATCATGTACTTAGATCTATTTACAAGATAGCAGGATATAAGGAAAGTATATTTGCAGGATTCCAACCTTTAGGCTTTGAAACAAAGATCCACAAGAGTTGTAGAAACAGTTGTTCTGTGGTCTGGCATCTAAATATGCAAACTGTTTCTAGACACTTACCACTGTGTAATGAGAGAAAATTGATCTTACATCCAAATATAGAGGACTATACACCGTTGACAAAATACTACTTTAGTGATTAAATTTTGTAAAAGGATAATTGAGGAAAAATAATGCATTTTATTAGAGATTGTTCACAATATACAAAGCATCTTTCTATGCATTATCTTATTTTTCATATTCATAATAACTTTCTTTAAAAATGGCACATATGTCTGTATTTTAAGACAGAAAAAAACTGACATACTAAATAGATGATTTTCCAAACCATTAAGTGGCAAAACTGAAATTCTTATGCTTGCTTTCTCAGTAATTTTCTGCCATCCCAAGTAAATTCAACAAGCCAGATACTGAAATTTACTAAAACTGAAAGTATTTCTAGTTAGAAAGAGAAAGAAAGTCAAATGTGTGTGACAAGTACTATTACTAAAATTCCTTCAGGAACATTACAAGTCCTTTCAAAGCAAACCAATATTAACTTTATATAAGCATTATATAATTCTTCTTTGATGATTAAAATAATGCACATTCCCTTCCTCCAGATAACAATAGCTAGTAATAACAATAAAGCTTTTATATCTTGCATACTGATGTACTAAATCTGTCCTGCAGTCTAATGGGGTAGATATTAACTAGCATCATCACAGAGGTAGGAAAAACTGCAGCATAAAGAGGTTAAGCAAATTGTCCTTGACCATTTGGCTAGTAAATGGGAAAATTAGGATTTATACTCAGGTAGACTAGGTCCAGTAAGTCTTAAGTGCAACATTACAATGTCTCTTGAATAGAACACATCTTTCACTCATTTCAGAGCCCCTACTGGATCCAACTACCAAAAAAGAAAGCTTCTGGAATATAGATTACAGATTTAAATCTTTCCCATGCCCGTCTAAGCATTACCAATCTGGGATACCAGTGATACACTTCATCTTCAAAGTGCTGGAGGACCCATATGCAAAGTGCCTAGCAGAGAACCTGGCACAATATATGTAGCTGTCAACTACACAGTCTTTTATGTGTCTGACATTATGCTAAATGCTTTTCTACATATATATGCATGCCATAAATGTGAAAATTGTTCTTTTTTTTTCTTGATATGCTGGATCCAAACCTGTTTCTTTGGAAATTAATCTGGGCAGTGGAGAAAATCTCTTTTCATAAAGGCAAGACTTGTTATAACAGTGGGCACAGGAAACTGCTGCATACAGGATGTGAAGAATTAGAACACCGGCACAGAATCACAGGCACACAAGAAAGTAAAGCAATGAAGTATTATGCCAAGGTTGAAATCCTAGCCTGACTTACTACCTAGACAAAGAGTTCCTCACAAAGAAAACTTAATGAAGAAATTAGAACATATATCTTTTAAGTCGTCAGTGAATTATAAATAAGTTCTTTTCTTGAACCCCTTTAAATATAATGTAAGCCCATTTCACATTGACTTTTACCAAAAACCCTTTTCCACAGGTAACTTCTCAGAAATCCATATATTATACCAAAAAAGTAGGTGTATCTCCTTTGCTAAAACTAGATTTGATAATTTGATTTCAAAATAATACTAATTCACTAGTTTGTTCAAGGGGAATTTATTAAGCAAAACTTGACATACTTTGTGTTAGATGAGGCAGGTATAAAAATGAAAAGAGCAGCTCTCTTCTGGCTATATAACTCACAATCTAGGAAGTGAATCTGATCCCAAGGAGATACCTCATTCTTAAAATATGTCAGTGACCACGAATATCTTCCCAGATATGATGAAATTACATAGAAACGACTATCAGAAACACTGTATATAGGACTAGAGAAAAGCCCCATCTTTTATAGGTATTAAGGAGATTGTGTACTAGCATGTGTTCCTTTATAAATACATATGTGTCCCTTCATAAAGTTGAATATATTTGGCGTCATGGAACCTCAGAGGAAGATTAGAAAGCCTGTAATAAATTATCCAAACAGATGCATACATTTCTCCTACCCAATCACCCTTCAAATTCCTATTTGACTAAGCTATTACATCTAAATAAGAAAACTGTAGAGTTACATAGAGTAACAAAAAGGAAAGGCCAGGGGTAACTAAGGCAACTGTCTAAGTTTCCTTGTACATAATTCAGCCAAAGTGAATAACTGATTTTCAGGTTATGTACTCCTTTACCATTCGTATCTCTCTTTCCTTCTTAGTACAGAGAACTGAATGGTCTGGCACTTGCCTGAATCCACTGAGAGACCTGATCACCACCTAGAAATATTAATCACGCCTTTAAGATTTATCTCTCCTAAAAGCCTGCAGTGAAAAGATAATGCACTGACCTGTCTCCAGTTAATGGCAAAATAATGGATGCTTGAGAAGAAAACACAATGAAAGATAATCTCATTTCAGGGCTGCAAAATAAGAAAAGAGGCAGTTAAAACAATTTTTAAAGATATATTGATATAATACAGACATATAACTAGGGAATCTCATTTAAAATTGGTCTCACTAAATGGTCCAGGCTTCTTTTGAGTGAAACTCCCTAAGCAGATACACTAATTCTGCTTAGCATTATTGCATAAGTCATTCTAGATTCAGCCAGTGCTTCCCAGCACTCAGGTGCTCCCCCATGATGTGCAAAGACCTGCATTTAGAGAGAGACTAACTGGCAAGACGAATTCTGGGGACGTGAAAAATTCTTTCACAGAAAACACTTTCTGGCCTTACTGTTTTCCCTCCTCCTACTAAAGCAGGCCAGTCACTCCTGAGTGAAGCCCCTGGACCTTGCTTTTGGGTAGAGAATAGCCAATCTGACCTAAGGACTCAAACTATGATGAGAGCCCATTTCAAATTCATCCTGAAGAAGAATACTTAAAAAGTGTCACGGAAAACATCAAAGAAACTAAATCACTTTTTGATGATGCTACTTTCCATTTCCTAACTTCAAACAACACATTTTCAGTCTACAACGAACGCCCACTCAGTTACAGCTTTCAGAGTTTAGGCACTAATCTCACAAAATGGTCTTTCTCTCTTGGATACTGTATGTAGCTATCACCAAGTTCTGAAGCTCAAGATACAAAACAAAGACCTAAAAACTGCAGTTCTCTTTAATAGTCACCCCTTATTCAATTCCTACAATATATATCTAACTACTAATTCAGCAGCTTAGCATGAGCCAGGCAACTATATAAGACAGAGTTTCTAACTTGCCAGGCACAGCAAGTAAGTAAGAGTCTCACTTTCTTCAAATGCTACATTGAAATGATCCATTGCTTTAGATCAAAACTACACGACACTTGCTGTACACTGTAGATTAAATCAGAAAATTTATAAACAACTGTCTGTTCTGCTTTGACATTCAAGGATATAGGGTCTTGTTTATTTTTCTTTCCTAGACAGTTTTACATCAGACTCTGTCCAGAAATGAGAGTGCAATACTTGGCTTCTTAAGCAGGGCCTGATGATTGAACATGGACAGGCATACATTTTTATAGGGATAACTTTACTGCTGCCAATAACTGAAAGCAAGGATTGCCTAGGCCTCTACAGATTGTTTGAAGTTACTTGCAACATGACTTTCAAAATGTTTTGATCATCCAAGCCTGTTTTACAGAAAACATTTGGGCTAACAAGACTGAAAGAAGCAATATTTAATGATACAGTTCCTATTCATGTCCTTTCCATTATCTTGATAAACTTACATTTATTTGCTCGTGGCAATTTTTTTCTTTGAAAAAGAAAAGCCTCAAATGTCTGGTTTCCTGGGCTTATTTTTAAATAAAGGATACCACTAATTTCTGGTTACCTTTAAATAAGAGAGTAAGCTGGATATCATAGCAGTCATGCTTTTTATAGGAAAGGAAACCAGTCTTCCTTAGTGAAGCTCACTGCATATATAGAACAGTTAAATTTTAAAACAGCCACACACCCACACATTGTGTAAACACAAGTCATTTCTTAAAACACACACAAGTGCTTTTCTTGGGACTGGGTTATTAACACATGTTCATTTGAAGTTTTCCAACACTTTTTTCTTTGAAATAAAGACCTTTGCAAGCTAAGCAAGATGGAAAATATATTATGGACACTATTAGGGTAAAATTTGTTTTTAACGTGATAAATTATGAGAAAGCATAACTGAAATTCAAAACAGATGAACATTCAGAAAGGAAAAGACATTTGGAATAGTATTTGAAGATGCTTCCTCAACGTGAGCCAAGTGTCTGGAATCCAGATGAAAGAAACCCTCAAGGGCCCAGCAGCTGTCCTGACAACATCTCATGTACACTATCCACCTGGTGATCTTAACATTTGACATTTCAGTCGAGGTTCTCTGTTGAGAAAGGTTTCAGGAAAAGGGAAACCCTACAGTTGGCACCTTTTCCACCGCCAAGATAAGTGAAGTAGGAAAAAGTACCTCACAAATCTCTCTGTAAGTTGCTGGACAAAATTGAAAATTTCAATCCAATTGTGTGCCACACTCCCAGATCTGAAAAATGAGATAAGAGTCATCAGAGAAACAACGAAAGAGGAGGCTGACATGCAAACATTTCTGAGTACCGAGAAGACGGGGAATCGCCTTCTCCTCCAGCCCAGGCCCAAGGAACGCTCTGAGCTGGAACTTTGGTGCCGAGTTCGAGACGTCAGCGCGTCCTTGGGGGCCATCAGCCTGAGAACTAGCTCGAGCGGGACCGGGCTCTTCAAAATAAACACGCAAACTTTCTCTTGCAGGAAATGCAAACCACATTAGGTTTATGAAAGCTTTTCCTGGCTCCAGGGAAAGCTCGGGGATCAGGACACAGTCAGGCAGGGCGCGGGTGAGATAAGGACCGAGGAGCCCAGGGGGAGGGAGTCCCGCAAGAGTCTCTGGGGAAACTGTGCTCCCCGGGTGGCCACACTCCTGTTTTCCCAACGGACCCCTGACCGGCGGGCAGGGGAAACTCCACTCCCCTAGGACCGAGTATCCCCGGGCCCCGCTTCCGACCACATCCTGCCTCCACCTCGCACCGGAGAGCGTCCGGCTTCCCAAAGACAGCGCCACGGGGCGCTAGCGCCGGCTCGCACAGCCCCTTCCCGGCCCCCCGGGCCCTGCCAGCCCGGCGTCGCCGCCGCGGGACCCGCACCTCCCTCCCGCACTCACTTGTCCAGGACGAAGTACAGGTCGAAGGCTCGGCGGCACGAGGGCTGCTCCTGGGCGTGCAGGAGCCCGCCGGGGCCGCTCAGCGCCAGCAGCCACAGGCCGAGGACCAGCCAGCCCCCGCGGCCGCGCGCCCGGGCCCGCGCCGCCACCATCGCGCCCGGGACCGCGGCCCGCGCTCGCAGCCCTCTCGGCCGGCGGGGACCGGGACCGCCCCGGGGCGCGCGGCCGCGAGCGGCGGGGGCGACTCGGGTCCGCGGGACGCAGCCCGGGCGGAGGGGTGGGAGGGGACGGCGGAGGCCCCGGGAAGACAAAGGGCGTTTCGGCCGCCGCGCAGCCGCGGGACTCCGGGCTCCGGGCCTGCTGCCCGACGCTGCGGGTCCTCGCCCCCGCCTGCAGCGCCGCTCCCTCCGCTCCGAAACTTTTCCGAGCTCTCAGGCGCGCCCCGCAGGGCTCTGGGGGAAGAGCCGGGCGGCCCGGAGGCTCAGAGCCCCGAAGCTGAGCTAAGGCCTCGGGGCGCCGATCCGGACCCTGCGCGCCCGGTCCGGCCCTCAGTGAGGGTTCGGTGCGCTCAGACCGGTCCTCTCCGGGGTCAGCGCGCCCACGGATGGGGCGGGGTGGTCCCAACGAGTCCCGGGCTCGTGCTGAGCTGCAGAGGTCCGAAGCTTGCCAGACCTCGGAAGGGGAGAGCAGTTTAGAAAAACAAATGTCCTCCAGAAACTAAACACTCCCACATATCCTGCAGGCCTGGCCTTCGCTCCACTCCAGCTGTGCTGGAAGAGCTTTTGGCGCGGCTCGAGGAGTCCCAGGGAGGGACGCACCCCTCACTCCGCCCCACCCCACCCCACCCCACACGCGCGGGCGCCTGTGAGGACCTGGGACTTCCTTTTTTTTTTTTTTTTTTTTTTTTTCCTCCTTAAGAAACCTACTTGTAGCTGCCACACGCCAAACCAAGGGTGGGGGAAGTGCCCACTCCCCTAAGAATGAAAAGGTGTACTCAAGATATGCCTTCTCAAAGTTACTCCTCCCAAACTCCTGATAGAAAGAATTATCATGGACATGATAAATGTTTGAGGAGGTCAGAGTCTGTCTCCTGATTTAAACATTACATGATGCATTCATATATTGGAACATCACCGTTAGTATGCACAGTGTTTGATGTTTTATCAGCTAAAAAAGTGTTATCTTAATTAAAACTAGTTTCATCTCGGTGCCTGCTAGACTGTCCTTGTCAAACTGTTGCAGGGAGGTGAAGTTTGGGTACACCTGCTGTTTCTTATTCCTCATGCAGTCTCTCCTACCAACTCCTCCTGGGATGTCTGCCCTCCCTTCCTCAAAACTGGCTTTCTGAATCTACAGTCTCACTGATGCACCCGTAATCTGGAGCGCCGTGTTCTTTTTCATTTTTAACAAGGTTCGTATTTTATAATAAAACATCCATATCGTATCTTACACACTGCCTTGTAGCGTCTTTTCTGTCTGTTACCACGAGTAACTTCATTTACATTATCTGTGTGGTACAACCAGATCTGTGTGCTCTTATCGGATCAAAACCAGTCACTTTAAAAATGAGTTCACAAGAATTACCTACTATGTGTTGGGCTTTGTTCTAGTTAATGCGTAGAACAAGATACCAAGTTCCCTTTTTAATAAAGCTTGCTATCTGGTCTTCATTTTTAATGTAATTAGAATCAAAATGGAATCAAAGACATTATATACCTTTAGCCATTACTTTTCACTGATACATGACTGAATAAAGTCAGAGGGAAAAGAAGTCTACCAAAAACTGAGACAATTGGTTTTAGTTCTCCTCTTAAAAGAAGACCAAAAGTGAAAAAATAAGAGACATAATATGAACCATGTAATCTTCCTCATGATGAAGTGGTTTTAAGGTCATATTTTTCAGCCTTCTTTTTCTCTTATTTATTGACTCATTGCCTGCTCAGCAGTTGGGCTGCATAGCTGGCCCAACAATCTATTTTCTAGGCCCAAACTAAAGCAAAATGTCTTGATTTTAAAACACTTCCCCAAGCTTTTCTGTAATTTTCTCAAATTCCCCAAGCTTTTCTGTAATTTTCAGTTTCTCTGTCCACTCAGTTCTTGTGTCCTGATTGCAAGGCCAGCAGAGACCTGACACACTAAAGCACAGTATCCTCCATTTATTTACTTGTTTGCATAGTGAATTCAGTCTGACTGTAGTACTTCCCTATGTCTCTCACTCGCTACTAAATGATCGATCGGCAAGTAAGCAGGAAGTGTCCTCACTAGCACAGATCAATGATTAACTAAACCATGCATGCATCACAGATATTTGCAGGAAGCTGTTCCAACTTACTTTGGACTTTAGGGTCCCTAGTTCAAGGACATGGGCCTGTCAGTGCTAGAACTGGGACAGTCCCTCCAGGGGATAGTTCCAGGCAAATCACTAAAAGCAATAGTGGAGGAAGCTGAAAGTAGGGAAGTCTTGAAAATCTCTCCAAGCCATAAAGAAAGCAGAGCAATGCAAATAGTTCCCCTTCCTTTCCACCAGGGAGAGGACACTAGGCATTTGTCTGCTAGAATCCAGGTAGATTGGGTTCCAACTGCCTTTGGACAAGCAATAATAAAGGAAAAATTATGTTGTACCCTCGAAGTGTAAACAATCACATAATCTATATTATTATGAGTAGTCATCTTTGTCTGGCATCTACAGTGACAGCCATGACTCTCCTGAAGTCCAGAGCCACACTGGAAGTGATTCATATTCGCATCATATAGGAAGTGATTCAAGATATGATACCCACAGTCAGTCAGAGGAAGAAAATAAAGCTTTCTACCTATAAGTGACAAAGCTTATTTTTGCTTTTACCAGGTATACTCATTAAAGAACTAAAATTTCCCCATGTCTGAACTACTTCCTGACAGTGAATAAAATGCCTTTGGAAGGTGCAATTTCCTTTAATTTAATATCTCTATGTGTGACAAAATGGTATACCAATCCATGTCAGAATGATTACCAACATCTGCACTCAGGAACAGATGTGTTTTAAATTCAGTTTCTCTGAGATGGAGATCAGATATTGAGCTACACTCTCAGAAGCAAAACCTAGAGAAGCTAGAGAAATAGCAACGATTGGAGGAAAAGTGGAATCATGATTCTATCTGCAGTGTACTGGGGTTGTGTACTCGTTCCCAGGGGTCCCTTCTGGATTATCGTACTGAACAGGAAATGAAGCAGCAAGGTTTTATGGTTACTAAAGGTAAGAAAAGAAGAGAGAAGTGTTCTGACAAGAAGTTCTCTGTAGTGTGAGGACCAGTTAAAGTAGAAAGAAAACACACTCCACATGTAAACTATGCAGCTAAGAAAGAAATTAGAGAATAGGCCAGGAGCCCTGTGGCAGCTTTCTTTTATACTCCCATCTGACATCAGACCTAGACCATCCTACCAAAACCCTGCTTGATCTTGTGCAGAAGAATTAGAGATAGAATTTTCTCCAATGAGTACCAGGAAAGGGTCTCCAAAGTTGTTCTACATGCAGCCTGGATCTCTATAGCTATCTCCTTGCCCATCAGCTTTTCCTCTCCTATCTTGTTACCACCACAGCAGTAGCCACAATCAATCCAAAATGTGGTTCCTAGCTGAGATGGCCTCTCATAGTTATGTAATTGAGTGGGGCCAAGCGGTCAAGGGTTTTGTGTCTCCTCATAGATCTGTCATCTAATGTGGGCAACTGCTTTACAGGGTGTATATGCTCTTATAAGGCAGCTGTTGATGTAGCGTAATTCTGTTTTGTAGGAAAAATCTGCAACCACAACTTCCTGAACATTCACACAAAGCCAAGTCCTTAGAAACTAGTTTGCTGATGGATATTTTCTCTTGCGCAAGGCCAGGCCTTCCCAAGGCAGTTCATGCTTGACTTAGCATTTTAGAATAAGTCTTGCAAGTATAATCACTTCTATCATGCACTCTCTTGCAGTTGCAGTCCAAGCTAGCACCTGTTTTCATTGAAATTTGTCTAATAGTATTCTGTCTTTCTGTTTTCCTGCATATCTCAATGTAATTAATTTTCTGAAGTGCAAGATCGATCACCTACCTAGTTACTGCCAATGCAACATCATTTCTTAACAATTTAAGGTTCTCATAGCAACATCATCACTTAACTCTGTATTGTCACATCTTTAGGATCTAGCCCACTCAAGTACTTTGCTCAGGAGAAACTATGACTGTCATTGTTCCCTTGTATGTGCAAGTTCATCTTATGAATCTTACCTCATTTTGTACCCTTTTTTATCTGAAGGTGTCAAATGCAACCAATTTTTTACATCCCTTCCATTTGCTTACTGAGAAACTCAGGCCCAAAGCCACAAGACAGAGCCAACCAAATGACTGTCAGAGTGCTGAAGACCAATAGTCACCTAGAGCAGGGTGTCTAAGTTAGCAGAGGGAGTTTCCATGGTACGGGGGAGAAAGACTGACAGGAGATCTCGAGGTCCAAAAAGGGTGAGGAAACAGTCCACAAGGGAAGAAGTGAAGAGGTGAGAATAGGGTTAGAACACTCAGGGTTTAAAGCTGAAGAAAATGAGAACTTCTGTTGGGAGAAGTCCTTTCAGATTGCTTGGAGTCCAAACTCAGACTCATACAGGGGTCCGTTGTAGTACACAGCATGAATAAGGAGGCAAAAGCATCTACACCTGAGGACAGAAATCGCCTGGGTTGTCAGAGCATGAGACAGTGAGTAGGCACAGGATGTAGAATGGGTAGAAAAGCCAGGCATAGGAAGGGCTTTTCAGGCAGAGTGGTATTTCTGAAGCCAAGTCGAATAGAAAGGCTTTAGATGGGAAGAAGCCAGCCATGGTAGTTAGGGACACCCAGGATGGGGATTGGGGGTTGTAGAAGATGCTAGGCAGGATAGCACCAAGTAGAGTCAGAGGGAAGGGGAACTTTTGGGGAGCATGGCACAGGAAAGAGGGGCTAGGCAAATGAAGTGGCTGTCCACCCATTCACACACATAGGAAGTGGCTCTTGGGTGGCAAAAATGCCAGAGTCAAGTAGAATCATATAATCTGCATCAATAGCAGTCATGGAAAGTGGTTCATTTGGGAAATATCTTAGTCTCTTCAGGTAGCTGGAAGAAAATACCATAAATTGTGTCACTTATAAACACCAGACATGTACTTCTCATAGTTCGCAAAGCTGGAAAGTCAACTATCAGTGCACCTATAGATTCAGTATCTGCTGAATGCTCTGCTTCAAAGTTGCTTTTGCTGTATCCTCAGAAAGCAGAAAGAAGCAGGGC